ATTCTCTCGCTCAACGCCTGCCCCTCCCCCCAAACGAGGGTGGCAGACGCCGCTTGTTCCTCGACGCGGCAGCACTTCCCGCCCTGTCGCCCGCGCCGGCGGTCGCCGACGTCTTGGTGCGCCATCCGCTGCTTGCAGCAGCCGCCGCCGGGGCCGCCGGGGCCGGCGCCGCCGCTGCCGGCGCCGGCGCCGCCTCCGCGCTGGGACGGCCGAGCGGCACGCCGTGCTGCGAGCAGTAGGTAGCCACGCAGCCAAGGAGCATCTCCCCGTGGCGCTGCACCGTCGTGCGCGGCATGCCGGCAAGCGCCAACAGCTCCTGCTCGTTGGCGGGTCGGAGCCGCGCGATGAGGCCGAGCTGCGCGTCGCCGACGACGGCATATGGCGGAACGTCGTCGCGCAGCGCCCGCCGAGCGCGCGCCTCACGGAGCCTCCTCGCCAAGCGCACCGCGTGCTGTTCCTCGGAGAAGCTGTCCAGCTTGAGCTGCAGCCGACTGCTGCCCGAGGCGAGCAGGGCGAGCACAGCCGCGCCAGAGCCGTCGACCCCGCGCAGCCTCGGCGCCTCGGCGCCGGCGACGACGGCGAGGCCCTCCATGTCGGACGGCCGCGCCTTTGCCAGCGCGACGAGACACCTCTCGCTCACCAGCGCGCCGAGCGGCTCCTCGCTCTCCTCGCCGCCGTCAGCGTCCGACGGGGCGGCGGCCACGGACCCCCTCAGCGAGCGGAGCTGAGACAGAATGCCGAGCTCCGCGCTGCTGAGCGCCAAGGCCAGACTCGGGCCGCCGCCGCCTCCGCCGCCTCCGCCGCCGCCTCCGCCGCCTCCGCTGCTGCTATTGCTGCTGCCAGCAGAGGGCGCAACCGGAAGACGGAGGGGCGCCGGCGTCGCATCCGTACCTGGCTCGCATAAGCCGAGACTTGGCCAGCTGCGGCGGTGGCGGGACAGGGCGAGGGGCAAGTGCATACAAGCGGCCGCGCGCCTTTCGCGAGCAGCGCCCGCCCAGCGCTCGCGACGCGAAGCGCGCGGTAGGAGCGGGGCGCGAATGGGTGGGCGCCGGGAGCCGCCGGCAGAGCGACGAGCTCCTACGGTGGCACGACGCCTCTGCTCGCGAGCCGTTCGGTGCGGCGAAGCGCGAGAGGCTGGCGGCGGCGCCTCCGCGAGCAAGCCCTCCTCCACCATCGCCTCGGCCAGCACTCGCCACCACACGGCGGACCTGCTGCACATCGCAGAAGGTGCCTGGAAGGCTCCTAGATACTTCTATGAGTGCGAGACGGCGGACCTGCCGCAACGCACGCCGGCGCCAAAGGCGGAGCAGAGCAGCAAGCGGCCGCCCGCCTATTGCGCCATGCGCGTCGAGCGTCCAAACCGTCTCTCGGGGCCGTGTCGGCTGCAGGCCGCCGCCTTGGAGGCGAGCTTGGCCGTGCGCGCGCCGCGGCAGACCTCGAGCACGGTGGGGAGGCCGAAGCGGCCCCCGCACGCCTCGGCCGCCAGCAGGAGCGCGCGCGCCTCGCTCGCCACGTCGTGGCACCGCTCGAGGCAGCCCTGGCCGCGGGAGCAGTTGTCGCAGCAGGGGGCTGGCTCGGGGCGAGCAGAGGGGGAGGAGGGCGCCTCGGGAGCGGCCGCCCGCGGAGGGAGCGTGTCCCCGAGGTACCTCAGCAGCGCGGCTCGCCTGCGGTGGCACGAGCCGAAGCCTGTGCGAGGCTGGGGGCGGAGGCGGCGGGAGAGGACTCGGCCGCCGCACCGGCACCCGGAGCAGTGGGCAAGCGAGCGCATGGCTGCGGCGGCCTCGGCGTGGCGCGGCTCGCCCTCCGCGGCGGAGAGCCCGCGCAGGCGCGACCAGTCCGAAGGGGCGTGGAGGAGGACGCACGCCGCGGGGAGGCCGTCTCTGCCGGCGCGGCCCGCCTGCTGCGCGTACAGCTCGGGCGACGCGGGAGGGCCCCAGTGCACGACCAGGCGGACGTCCGGCTTGTCGACGCCGAGGCCGAGGGCCACCTACACGGGACGCGTGTCGTGCACGTGTCGCGGTCGCGCGCGCGATGGACGCGGGCGTGCCGAGGCCGAGGAAGGTGTCGAGGAAGTGTCGAGGAAGTGTCAAGGAAGTGCCGAGGCCGAGGCCCACCGTCGCCACGAGAACCCTCGCGCCGTCGCGCGACCACGAACGCAGCGACTCGTGCCGGCCGGCAGCGCGCGCGTGATAGGGCGCGGCCTGCACGCCCGCCTCGCTCAGCGCGGCGGCGAGCTCGTCCGCCTCGGCGGTGGTCGGGACGTAGACGAGCGCGGCGCCCTCGTGCCGCCGGAGCAGCGGCAGCAGCGAGGCGGCCCCGCTGTCGCCCTTCTGGGCCACGCTGTAGTGCAGGTTCGGGCGGTCGAGCGGCGCAACCACGACCGACGTGTCGGTCCCCATCTGCAGGCTCGCCGCCAGCTCGCGCCGCGTGGGCGGCGGCGCCGTCGCCGTGAGCGCCATCAGAGGCACGCCCGCCGGCCTCGCCTCGCCCAAGCGCAGGAAGGCGGGCCGAAAGTCGAGCCCCCATGAGAGGACGCAGTGCGCCTCGTCGATGGCGATCGCGCAGATGGGGCGCGCGGAGTGGAGAGCCGCGACGAGGTCGCGGCCGGCCGGCGTCGCGAGCTTCTCGGGCGTCACATAGACCAAGTCGAACTCGCCGCGGGAGGCCCTCGCCTCGGACGAGGCGTCGGTCTGCGAGGAGCCGAGGTAGACGGCCCGCATCCCTCGCGCGCTCGCCGCAGCGACCTGGTCATGCATGAGCGCGACGAGTGGCGTCACGATGACTACGGGGCGGCCAGTAAGCAACGGGAGAAGCTGGAAGCAAACGCTCTTGCCGCCGCCGGTCGGCGCCACCACGAGGCAGTCGCGCGCCTCGAGCGCGCAGCGGATGGCGAGGCGCTGCGACGCGCGGAGCACGGAGTGGCCCCAGTGCTCGCGGAGCAGCGCAGACGCACGGGCCTCCCAATCGCCCGGATGCGGTCGCGGAGGAGGGTCGCGCATGAGCAGCGACTCGTGAGCGGTGTCCGTCATGCGTGAGGCGGGTGGCTGAGCGTGATGGCTGATCACAGTAGCCCGAGTTTGGGCGGCCTCACCCGGGGCTCACCGGCGCCCGGCCATCCCCGCCCCCTCCCTCACCTGCCCCACCCCGGGGCCTCACTCGCGATGCGCTGCCGGGGGGGTGCTCGCTGCCCGACCCAGCCAGGGCGCAGGGGCACCACGGGCGGGCCACAGCCCACGCGCACGCGGCCCCGTACCTACGCCTACCGGCTACCGCGCGCCCCCGGCCCACCAGCGCCACGCCTAAAAGATTAAGAATTCTACCCCCTCAAAGGCGCGCTCCGCACGAAAGTGAAAGCTGAATGGGCGGGTCGGGTGCCGCCGGGGTGGGGGGGGTGGGGGCACCCGGGGCGCCTCACTCTGAGGAGCTCCGCCCCGCCCCTGCCCCTCACTGCCCCGGGGGTGGGGCCTCATTCGCAGCCGGCGCGTCCCGGGGTGGGGTCTCGGGGTGAGTCCCGGGTGAGGCCCGCCCCCCCCCGTCCTCGTCGGGCTACTGTGATAAGCACATGAGCGAGAGCTCGGGGCGGCTGAGCGTGAACCTGTTGCGGTCGCTGCCATAGCTGCTGCGGCCGCACCACCCGGCGAGGCCATCCTCGCGCGCACGGACGCTACAGGCGCGGGCGCGGGGGTGGAGGTTGCATATGAGGCGGAGATGATGGAGGCGCTCGCCGCGTGCGGCGATTGAGCGCCTCCCTCTCTCTCCGGCTGCGCGCCTGACCGGTGCGGCCTCCGAGTCGGCGTCTAGCGCGCGCGATAAGGTTTTTGCTCGCCTTCCCTGGGATCCCGTGTTGCGTGACTCTGTGCGAGATTTCGGGCCCGGGGTTGTGCGTTTACGTGAAGAAGCGCCATAGAAGGTACTTTCTTCTCAATAACAAGGCTGTGAAGAACGACTGAGATACGCTGCTTCTGCAGCCCTGGCCAGTTCTTGGTGGTCCAAGTCACCTCATCGAGGTACACTGGGCCCGCGTCAGCTTGCTCTGCAGCACCGAGCACGTTCGCCGCGCCTTCCAGAGGATCTCGCCGACCCCCTTCCCGAACCCACCGAAACGACTCGAACAGCAGCAGCTGCACGTCGACGTCCTTGCTTGTCCTCCCTGGCCGACCTCCTTGCTTGTCCTCCCTGGCGTAGCGATACTCGCCGCCGTAGGACGGTACGCGGCGCGGTGTCGCCGCCCACCACTCTGACCCCCCTAGTATGCCAGCGACCCGTCCCCTGCCCCCTCTCGCCCTTGCTCTTCCTCTCCCCCTCCATGCCCTCGCCCCCGTAACCCTTCACACTCCGAGACTGTAGAATTTGAAGGATAAGCTAATTACCGACAAAAAAGCATATTACAACAAAACTCCCTCGCACGACACTGGGCACGGGACTGGCGCATTGGCGCTAATACATGAAAAGAATTTCACCACTAACGCCCTCGCACATACTGGGCACGGGACTGCATGAAAAGAGTTCCTGCCGGTCTCGCAGAGTGTGACGACAGCGAAGACGAGATGGCAGAAGATGAGGCGACACGAGGCATCAGGAAGAGGAGACGAGATGCAAAGGAGGATGACGCTGGACGGGACGGCCGCGAGGGGGCACATGAGGACGCAGGACGCTGCGCAGCGAGGGCAGGAACTGGCAGCACGCGGCATGCAGATGGGGGTAGACCGAATGTGCTGTCGCAGGGGGGCCGTCGTCGCGCGCGTGCTGCAGGCGTGCGCGGCATGGGGCGTGCTCGTGCCGCGCCTCCCCGGACCCCGCGAACAGCTGCTGTGCGGAATTTTTGGGGCCGCGGCCGGCGCGGGGTGCGGGGAGCGCCCGCCCGGGGAGGCGAGACGAGTGGACGCGACGAGAGGGCTGAGAGGCGCGAGTGCGAGACGCGCGAGATTACATGTGATTTGGTGCGATTCAAAGAGAACAAACCGCGCATGAATGAACACAACGCTGTCATCGGTTCATCATCATCCGGCACCGCCGGCGTCCAGCTCTCGCAGCAGGTCAGACGGCCGCAAGCTCTCCCCCGCCGCCCACGCGTCGTCCTCGTCGCCCTCGTCACCAGAGGCGTCCGCGTCGCCGCCGCCGGCCTCCCGCCGGGCGGCGGCTCGCAGCTGCGCCAGCAGCGGCCGCGTGAGCATGCCGTGGTAGAGGGCGGCGTTCATGCCTCCGGTCACGGGCCAGTGGAGGCCGTTGGCGGCGAAGTGGAGGCAGCCAGAGTCAAAGACGCCGAGGTCGCCTGGCTCGAGCGCCACCGCCGTCACCGCCTCGTCGAGCAAGAGCGCCCGCTGCGCGTCGTCGAGAGGGCGGTCCACCGGCACGCGCGTCGCGAGCAGCTCGGCCTGCGCCTACAGCTCCAGGCCCCTCTCCGCCTGAGCCGGCGGCGACGGGCGCCGCCGCTGCGATGCCTCGGCCGCGCCTCGGCGGCGTCCAGCTGGGTGTAGTCGGCGGCGTGCAGCGCGGCGAGGCGCGGCGTGGCCTCGCGCGTCGCTACTCCGAGCAGCTTGAGCCCAGTCAGGCCTGCGCAGGGGACGCCACGCGAGAGTGAGGGCGAGGGGCGGAGCGTCTCTCCGGCGGCGTCCGTGAGAACCGTGCGCAAACTCGAGCTGCGGGCAGATGTCGACATGCGCAGCCGTGAGGGAGCCCGCGTCGCCCACAAACAGCCTCGCCTCCTCCTCCGACCACAACACGCCGCCCTCGCCGCCGCCGCCCTCGCCGCCGCCTCTCTCGCCGCCGCCGCCTCTCTCGTCGCCGCCGCCTCCCTCGCCGCCGCCGCCTCCGCCCTCCTCGCACAGCCGAGCCAGCTCCTCTCCCAGCTCGAGCCTCGCCGGCCCCGCCATCCCCTCGGCGGTGGCGAGAGCGCGCAGCGCCGGCACTGCGGGCAGCTCGACCGCGTAGAGCCGCGCGGCGGGCACGGCGGTGTCGAACACGACGGTGAGGCTGCCGCCCCGCGCGCGCCTCGCGTCAACCTCGGCGAGAATCGCCTGGGAGCGAGGCGCGGAGCCGCCCGGGTGGCGACGGGCGGCCGATGCCTCGAGCGGAGTGGGCGGGGCACCAGCGGGAGGGGTCTAGGAGGGGTATAAGAGGTGTGTCTAGGAGGTGTCTAGGAAGCGTCTAGGAGCGCCTCGAAGGAGAGGGCGGGGGCGCCTCCCCGCATCAAGAGCATGTCCGGCCCCTCGAGGCGGTGAAAGAGCATGCCGGCCCTCACCCCGGCTTCGTCGGCAACGCCTCCCTCCTCCACCTCGCCAACCTCCGCACCGAGGCCAGCCGAGGCTGCGCCCGCCGCCTCGCCGGACGGCTGCAGCGGGCCGAGCGAGAGGCCGAGCGGCGCCTGCAGGACGGCTCAGGAGCAGAGTCAGAGAAGGGTCGGGCCGCAGCGGTTCCGCACCGCCTCTGCTCCTCGGCCGGAAAGTCGACGCGCAGCGTGCCCTTGCCGATCGCCTCGCGGCAGCCTGCCGCAACATCATCGCCGATCTGCGCCAGCTCGCCGCTCACATACTCGCCTACCAGCCGCCCCGCTCCACCCCACACGTCGTCGCCGCCGCTGGCGCTGCTGCCGCCAGCCGCCCGCTCGGCGCGAATCGCGCGCTGCAGAACCTCAGCAAAGGCGACATCAGCGACGTCGCAGCGGCCCGCCCGGAGCGAGACGGCGGTCCGTCGCGTAACGGCTGCCGCAGCCTGCAGGCCGGAGAGGCCAAGCGCCGCGCCGCCGCCCGGAAAGAGGAGCGGCGTTGGAATCGGCTCCGCGCCGCCGAGCGCCTCGAGGAACCAGCCGGCGTCCAGCGCGACTGTGCCGCGGCCGGCGACCCGGCGGCGGGCGAGGCGGTCGCGCAGGCGGGCCGGCCAGTGCGGCGCAGCAGCTGCGAGTCTCTCCTCGGCGCCAGGCTGCGGGCGGATGGCGAGATCGAAAATCTGCTCGGGAGAGCCGAGCTCGAGCGGCGGCTCGTCATCGGAGCCGTCTCGCAGAGCCCAGTCCGAGTCCGCAACGTGGTGCAGCGTGCAGCGCCGGCCGCCGGAGGTCACGTGGTAGAACTCGCTGTCGCCGTCGAGCTCGAGCGCAAGAAGCCCGACGGAGCGGCCGCAGGGCGCGGCGACGGATGGACCCTCGCAGAGCAGAGACGGAGGTGGCGTCCGCCGGGCCATATGGGAGGGCGGAGCGCAGAGCGAGGAGACGAGCATGCCGCCACGGGGCCAGCGTGGAGGGGAGAACCAGCGGAGACCTCGGAGCGAACTCTGACGGAGAGGAGGTCCCGTGTTTGCGTCTTCGCGAAGTGCGATTTCTTTTTCCGAGGACGACGGCGCCTTCAAAAGGGCCGGGCCGGGTCGAACCTGTGTGCTGTGCGAGAGAGTTATTTTTGTTGAATTCTTTTCCCTGTATTGCGCCTCGTCTCTGCGCAAGAGCCTCTCCGGCTTGCCCGCCTCCGACTGTGGGCGGCCGGCGGTCGGCTCTCCCGCCTTCTTTCTCGACCGCGTGATCGGACGCTGGAGATCGTCGCCCCGCCGCGGATCCAAGATGCATTGGAGGACACCGCACACAAAAGGTGCGCTGCAAGGCTTTGGCGTGTCGTTCGTTTGTTGCACTTGCACGTGCACGCACGCGCGCGCGCGTCGAACCTGCCAAAAGAGAAAAGTGGCGCTCGAACGAGCTGTGTGCAGCTCACGCTGCCAATTGGCAGACAATGGAGCAGACCTGAAATCTCACCCTATACTCGCCCTCGTGCAGGCTCGCGCCGCTGCGCAGGAGGGAGAGAGTGCGGGTGGCGGTGAGGCTCTCGATGTGCGCGAGCGGCGTCCAGCCGCGGCTGGCGACCAGCCAGGCGGCGAGGTCGGCGTGGCCGCGGCTGTGTGCGACCGCCTCGGGCGTGGCGCCGTAGGAGGAGAGGAGCTTGGCGACCTCGAGGGGGCCCTGCTTGCACGCGATGTACAGCGGCGTGGCGCCGTTCTGCATGGCGTCGTCGATCGCCGCGCCGCCGCCAACTCCCGCGGCGCCGCCGCTCGAGGCGAGCGATAGCACGCCGGCGCCGAGCTCCTATCTAAGATCTTGTCTTTGTTTAGAGCTGCCGCGTCGCTAGAGGCTAGGGCCTGAGAAGAGGATTGTACTCACACCTCTACCGCGGCTGCCGCCGCTTAAGACTAGGCTCGGATTGGACTTCTCTAGGCCTTGAGCTCTGAGCTGCCGCCGCCGTAGCCTAGGATTGGAGCTGGCTAGAATCGGCTCGAGTATCTCTCTAACCTCTACCGCGGCTGCCGCCGCTCTCGGCTAGGATTGGATCTGGCTACTATTGGGCTCTGATCTCTCTCTAGCCTCTAGGGACATGGCTGCGCTGTCGCTACCTGTGTGGCTGCCGCCGACTAGGATTTGCCGGGACTGCCTATTGTCTCTCGAAACACACTATCTGCTGCCGCGACCTGGCTGCCGCCGACTAGGATTTGCTGGAACTACCTCTTGTCTCCCTGTTTGTGTACTACCTGCTGCCGTGAACTTGAGCTGCCGCGACCTGGCTGCCGCCGACTAGGATTTGCTGGAACATATCTTGCTCTTCGAAACTCTCCGTACCTGCTGCCGCGTACTGGCTGCCGCGACCTGGCTGCCTCCGTCTAGGATTTGCTGGGACTACCTCTTGTCTCTCGAAACACAGAACTGCTGCCGCGTACTGGCTGCCGCGAACTGGCTGCCGCTGACTAGGATTTGCTGGAACCTCTTGTCTCTGCAAACAAGCACTGCTGCCGCAAACTGGCTGCCGCCACCTTGGGTTAGGGTTAGGGTTAGGGTTAGGGTTAGGGTTAGGGTTAGGGTTAGGGTTAGGGT